GAGGGGCGGCTCAGGACGTTTGCACAGTGCTGTGGATAAACCGGTGAAGGGAGCTGCTTTAAATAGAAGTATCTGACACCTGTGCAGCACGGGGCTCAGCAACGCTCACACAGTCCCAAACCGTGTGCAACCGACAAAACAACCAGTGTTGAAACACACCCTGACTAACACACACACACACACACACACACACAGAGTGACACACACGCTTCCTTTTAAACCTGCAGAGGTAAATGGTGACTGCTGCCGCCCTCTGCAGGCTGCAGGGGGTAACTGCACGCTCTCTCTGTGTTACCATCAAAGAGACAAAATAGAAGAATGAAAATCAGAGGAAATCGATGTTTCTGGCACCTGTTTGAACTTTGGCCTGAACGACACACCTGTGGCTGAAACACCTGGACCTCGGTCTGCATTCAGCCTGTTTCTCCCGCCGTCGGTCTGTCTAACCGTCGTGCTGGCGTCCGCGGGGTGAAAAGGGATGAATGGCGAGTCTTAGGCGCACACTCGTTACTGCTATTAGAAAGTGAGCGAGTGAAGCTCTGATGAATCGCGTCATCGTAACTCATGACGACTCCACACGAGCTCGTCCACCTCCAAACTGGATGGCACCTGTCAGCAGGTTAAAGAAGGTGTGTGTGTGTGTGTGTGTGTGTGTGTGTGTGTGTGTGTGTGTGTGTCAGACTGGCAGGACGCCATCAGCGTGGGTGTGTTGGACTGCGCTCAGGAGGAAAACTTTGACGTCTGTAAGGACTACAGCATCAAGTTCTACCCCACCTTCAAGGTACGTCAGCATGTACCTGCTGCAGGTGTGTCGCCCCCTGCAGGGGCTGATGGGTAATAACCACCTCATTTTTCTATCCTCAGTTCTTCTGGGCCCACAGCCCACCATCGGAGCGAGGGACGACCTACAGAGGTGAGACTCACCTGAACGTCCCGCTCACTTCCTTCCTGCCTTCCTGCCTTCCTTCCTTCCTTCCTTCCTTAGGACTCGATTAAAAACAAACACAAGAGTCAACCTTTCAAATAAAGACATTTATTTTTGTTTCTGTTGTTAAAAACTGTGACTGTGTGTGCAGGTGCCGACCGGGCGATCCCGTCTGTCCGTCAGCTGATGGTGAACGTCCTGCAGAACCACACTAATCTGGACCGGCCCAACCACTGCCCTCCTTTGGAGCCCTACAGGTACCTGGACCTAAACCTGGACCGGGTCGGCGTCTGTGCCACTGCTAACCTCGCTCTTTATGTTCGTCTGCAGCGCTGCTCAACTGCTGCCTCTGCTGGGTCAAAGGTCAGATCACTACACGGCCATCCTGGTGGAGGAACCGGACTCGTACGTGGGGCGAGAGGTAACCAGAACAGGAAAAAGACGACTCGCAGATCAGAACGGGAACAGGAAGCGCTGTCCGATAAACCTGCAACACACGGAGACGATTTAGAAAGCCCAGCGTAGCTTCCGTTTATATTACAATACAGTCTGTGCTCTTATTTTGAAAGTTCAGTCACCACCAACCTGCTGAGGACTTCCTGTCCTGCTTTCCTACAGCACACTTTGCCCGTCTGTACATCAGCCTGATGTCTCTCTGATGTCCAGCAGGGGGCGACACTCTGGGTTTGAGTTCTCTCAGCTGTGACGTCTATGTTGGAGATGATGGTCCCGTTAGAGTCAGAGGAACAGGAAGCAGGGGAGCATTCAGGGCGGGGCTAGTTACATCCAGGTTATAAAGATGGAGGTGGTACAAATGCCCACCCCAAGAGTGACATCATGGTAGTTATGGCCATCTTTAATATACAGTCTGTGTTCCGTACGGGTGCTGCAGGTGTCGGTTGGTGTCCTCACCTGTACAAACCTGTGTCTCCAGGTGATCCTGGACCTGCTGCAGTATTTGGGTGTGCAGGTGAAGAGAGCTCTGAGCTCTGATCGCCCCCTGGTGGACGCTCTGAAGCTCACTGCCTTCCCTTCCATCTACCTGCTTCATCCCAATGGGACACATGCACACCTGCACAGGTAAAGTTGAACCCTTGGACAGTAACAGTGACCGATGTTCGATTTTCTGACCGACACCTCCTTCTGCAGCGAGAAGCCGCTGCGTTTCTTCTTCTCCTCCTTGCTGAGGACGTTACCTGGAGTCCAGCGCCGTTTGAAGTCGAGCAGCACCAGCAGTTCCGGTGCGAGCCAGGTGGGGGCGCTGCCAGGCAAACAGACCACAGAACCATGGAGGGACTTTGACAAGTAAGAGTCTCTGATCGGGTCGGTAGAATGACTCGGACCTCAGATCAGCTGACCTGTACGTCTCTGCAGGTCTAAGGTGTACACGGCCGACCTGGAGACGGCCCTCCACTACCTGCTGAGGGTCGAGCTGGCTACCCATAATACACTGGAGGGGGAGGAGCTAAAGATCTTCAAGGACTTGGTGACTTTAGTGGCAAAGGTAACCACGGCAAGCAGAGCAGCTTTGCATAACTAACAGTTCATAATACTCAGTGCAGCCTGTGCCTGAAACAAGCTGTTTTAGCTCCTCCTCCAAGATGGCGTGATTCTGACGCATGATCAATGAAAGCGTTGCCATGGAGACCTGCCATCGTGTTCATG